TAGATAACTGATATCACTAAATTGTACATCTGAAAAACATTGAACTGACAAGTGTTGTGTCATATATATTTTTACCAAAACAAAAAACCACCACTGAATTTGGAGGACAGTAGTATTCACTCTGAATGTGGCCCTGATTCTTGCTGACTGTGTGTCTCATTGACTCACTAACTGGCTTCTCTGGAAGTGTCTGATATCTGTGAGCTCTTCATCCCGGAAGACAAAATATTTTCCTTCCCTCTTACACTTGAGTCTTTTGATTCCCCATGGCAACCGTGTGTCATCTGGGGCCAGGCAGAAGGCCACAGGGCCACCCTGGGCTAATCATCCCCATTGTGGTGCCTTCCCTTGAGTAGATGGTGCTTATTAATCAAGAGTTGTAATAGAACTGACGGCCGGCCGCTCCTATGCCTGATAGCACAGATTAGCCAGAGGAATCCACCAGAGGATCATCAGGTTAGCTTCACCGGCTGCCGGGGGGAAGTGATCGATGGGTTTCCTTGTGTCTGGTTTTGCTTGCTGAAGGTGTGCCGGAAAATAGTAGGGACTGTGAGCTTTGGAAATGAGTGGTTTGTGGAGGTTCTCTGCTTGGGGGCCAAACATGTGATCGTATGTTACTAAGGACAGAGAAGAGCCCAAGAGTAATATTCAGGATGCATCTGATGAGAGAGGAGACAGATATCTGTGACAGCAGAAGGCTCTTCTTACATCCTGCCCTCTCGTTAATATGCAGAAAACCGGCTTAGGGACAGAATTTAAACCCGTGTTCTCCAAGAGTGGGAAACATCAGACTGATTTTCTGTGAGGAAAAAAAAAAAGAAAAATTAAAAAACAGTCTGGCTTCTGGACCTGGGGACAGCTGGGAAGAAGAAAGTAGATCAGGTTAGCTCCTGTATTCATCAGGATGGGCTCGACCATGCTGCAGTGACAAAGATCCCCAACTGCTTGATTACTTAAGGCAACAAAGGTTTATTTTTGCCCACTGAGGACTGGCGGGGTCTCTGGTTCCCCTGCCGTCACTCAGGGCTGCAGGCTCTTCCACCATCAGGAGTGTGACCGGGTGCTGTGGGGGAGGGATTGTGCCCTGGCTCCGAAGTGGCTCTAATCACTTGTGTTGGCTTTACAGCAAGTTACCTGGCTTTGCTTAACTCTCGGGGGGTGGGGATATACAATCCTGCCATGTGCCTAGAAGGAATGTATCTTAGTGTTTTAGTGCTGCTATAAATAGAAATACTACAAGTGGGCAGCTTTAACAAACAAAATTTATTTTCTCACAGTTTAGGAGGCTGGAAGTCCGGATTCAGGGCACCGACTCTAGGGGAAGGCTTTCTTTCTGGGTCGACTCTGGAGGAAAGTCCTTGTCTCTTTTCAGCTTCTGTTCCTCCTTCCCTGATGACCTTCCTGTGGGGTGGCATCTATCTTCCCCGTCTATGCTTGCTCGCTTCTGTACCTAATCTGCTCTTTTCATGTCTCATAAGTGATTGGCTTAAGACACCCTATACTGATGTGGCTTCATTAAGATAATAAAGAAAACCCTATTCCCAAATGGGGTTACATCCACAGGTATAAGGGTTAGGCTTTACAGCACATATTTTGAGGGGACACAATTCAATCCATAGCAGAAGGGAACAGAAATATTCCCAAAGAGCCTTGATGGAAACCATCCCTATTCTAGCGCCGTCCCACCTTAGGTCCTTTTCCCTCCCTACAGGAGAAGAGGAGCTGAGCTGCTCTTTGACTTACCTCTCAGCAAAAGAGCAGAGGCACTTTAGCAAGCTTTAAGGCCAGACCACGGCCTCCCCAGATGACCTTGGGCAAGTTTCTTAACATGCTCCAAGCTTCCTCCTCCCTCTTTATAAGAGGGGAGAACAATAGGACTTGCTTGGGAAGTTATTCTTGAAGGTTAAGTGAGATGTCACAGGTAAGGGTTTAGCATGGTGCCTGGCACATAATCACTACTCAGGGAATGTTCGAGCCACCAGCCTCGGCTTCCTCTTTCCGTAAAATAGCGATCGTTGAGGGTACCTCCAATATTATAGGGCGATTGTTTGCATCTAGTAAGTAATGCCTGTGAGTTGCTTAGTATGGTACCTGGATCCTGGTAAGCATTCAGAAAATACCTCTGAGAGGCTACTTGGGATTCTTCAGGGGCCTCCAGACAGAAGGAAGGAGACAGAGGAGAATCAGTGGGTTTGTTTGGATTACAAGATCAGAGCGTGCTTGAGGCGCCCCTGATGGGGATTTATTCCAAGTCTTTATGGGGAGATAAGAAAGGCCAGAACCAGTGCCACTCAGAACTGGAAGGCTCCTCCCCACAGACCTGGAGGTCATAGTGGCCCCTGTGCATGACCTGCAGCAGCTCTGCTATGACCTGCTACGGATGCAGCTTGCCCATCTCAGGTTCTTTCTATTTCCTCCCTCTTACTGTGCTTTCCAGGAGTCCCTGGATGGCACAGATGGTTAAATGCTTGGCTGCAAACTGAAAGGTTGGATGTTCGAGTCCCCATGGCCCCCTAGCTCCTGCCGCCTCAAACTTTCAGTGCTTCCTGGCCCCTGCTTACTGTCCCACCTCTCTCTGTGACTCCCTGCCACCCAGTAGGCCACTGATCGGCCTAGGAATGGCAGTTTGGAAGTTATATGCCTATACCTGCTCCATCTCCAGGGTGGGGTGTACGGGAAGGGGGCCAGATTGTGTGGTAGAAAGCCAGGCTGCAGCTTACGGGGAGGGACATAGGTGTTGAAAGGACTCTGCGGCCTCTCAGGAGAGGGCAGTGTAACTGGCAGCCCAGAATGTGGGGTCTGTGGTCTGTCTTTCTGGTTTGAATCCCAGCTTCACCACTGACTAGCTGTGTTACCTTGAACAAGTCATGTCTTACTGATGCTCGGTTTCCCCACCTGTAAAATGGGAATAATAACAGTACTCGATTTATAGAGTTGCCCTGAGGTATCTCAGTGTCAGCTGTAGTTCTTACAACCACCACCAGATAGGACTGATGCTTAATGCCAGATGGGAGGTGACAAAGGTCAGCTTGTGGGGGACCCCATGCACAATGGATGGAGTGTTGTGATCCACATGATTTTTTTTCAACAGCTGATTTTTCAGAAGTAGAGCTCCAGGCCTTTCTTCCTAGTCTGTCTTGGTCTGGAAGCTCTGCTAAAATCTGTTCAGCATCATAGCAACACACAAGGCTCCACTGACAGATGGGTGGTGGCTTCACATGAGGTGCATTGGCTCAGAATTGAACCAGAGTCTCCTGCATGGAAGATGAAATCTACCACTGAACCACCAGTGACTCCTAAGGCTAGAAGGGGGCACCCGTTCATGGCTTCTTCTCCAGACCACTGCTGAATCAAATGGGAACAGTAGGGTAGGGGCAACTAAGCGGAGCCCAAGAGAGGAGGACCTTTTCAACTTTACACTTTGTAGATCAGGGCTTGGCACACTTTTCCATAAAGGGCCAGACAGGAATAATTTAAGCTTTGCAGGGCAGATGGTCTCTGTTACAACACTCAGCTCTGTTGTTGCAGCACAAAAGCAGCCAGCCATACCCATTGCTGCCTAGTCAATTCCGACTCATAGCGACCCTATAGGACGGAGTGGAACTGCCTCCGCCGAGTTTCCAAGGCTATAATCTTCACAGAAGCAAACTGACACATCTTTCTCCCTTGGAGTGGCTGGTGGGTTCAAACTGCTGACCTTTCAGTTAGCAACCGAGCTTAACCACTGCGCCACTAGAGCTCCTTAAAGCAGCCATAAGTAATACATAAACAGATGTGGCTGTGTTCCAATAAAACTTTATTTACAAAAATAGTTGGAGGGCTGTTGTTTGCCAACTACCACTAGAGCAGGGGCCGTGCTGAGTGCCACCTGCCTGTGTGGCCGCCGCTGCCCAGTCCTCACCATTCCTCTCCTTGGGAACTGTTAAGAGGCACATTTCAACTCTCCTTAAACAGCAACACTGGGAATCATCCCCCGGAGTCACTGCCTATTACCAGTGTGTTTCTATAGCAGTGGGGGTAGATGTATGGAGCAATTAGCCTTCTCTGTGGCTTTGGAGGTCCCCTCAGGTGGCAAGCTTTGGGGCAGCAGTTACTCCTTCAGGTTGAGGGCTTGCAAAGGGGCGCTAAGCAGAAGCAGCATGTTTCAGAAGCAGTGCGGCATCACTTGAACTTGAACGGTTCGCATTTGATCGGAGCTGTTGGAAGGGCCAGGTCCCACCTCCAGGTGCAGGCGCCAAGGCGGGGCGCCTCTCAGGAACGTCCCATACCATGCACTTTCTCTAGACTCACCCTGGCCGTTCCCTTGACCACAGGGGGCTACATCAGCCCTGTCTTAGGTACGCATATTAGAAGCCAAAACTCAAGCACAGGAGTGCCCAAATTGTGTCTCCTCCCGGGTACCCATTTTAAGGTTCTTTCTGCAAAGGCTGCCTCCCCCTCCAAAACAGCCAAGGATGTGTCTTCCTCAGAATTAACGCTAGCTGGGGCTGATTGCTCTTCTGGGCATAGATATATGAGCGTGTACTAAAGGCAGTGGAATGTATATAATACCCTACCAATATTTTTTCCCTTTGTAACTTTATCATGGCATTTCCAGCCCTTAAATAAACTATCACAGCACTTTCTGCTGGAATTTCCACAAGAAGCTTGAACAAAATGCTTGAGTCCAATGACCAAGGCAGCCAAGGAAAGAAACTTACTCTAAACAAAACCAAAAACCAAACCTGTGTCCGTCGAGTCGATTCTGACTCATGACGCCGCTGTGTATTACAGAATAGAACTGCTCCGTGGGGTTTTCTTGACTTAATCTTATGGAAGCAGATTGTCAGGTCTTTCTTCCGTAGTGCCACTGGGCAGCTTAGAACCGCCAACCTTCTGGTTAGTAGTCAAGTACAAACCACTTACGACACCCAGGAACCTTCCACAATCCCCGGCGCCCACCTAATTAGCACGATCGCTCATAAGAATTCTCTCTTGTGTTTCTCTCCCAACTTCTCCAGGATGGCTACTTCTCACACCGGCCGAAAGAGAAAGTGCGAACAGACAGCAACAATGAGAACTCCGTCCCCAAAGATTTTGAGACAATCGACAACAGCAACTTTGCCCCCAGGACTCAAAAGCAGAAGCACCCGCCTGAGTTGGCGAAGAAGCCCCTGAGTAAACCAAAGGAGCTTTTGAAAAAGAAGCTGGAGCAGGAGGAGAAAGGGAGGGGACGCCCTTTCCTGGGGAAAGGCACCAATGAGGTGCTGCCTCCTGGGGAGAGAGCCACAGCCAACCGCAGCCACGCAAAAGATGCCGCCCGACAGGCCCACGCCAAGAAGAGCGGGGACAGCTCCCCCGAGGTCAAGTATGACCAGCACCCCAAGTGTGACATCTCGGGCAAGGAGGCCATCTCGGCCCTCTCCCGCTCCAAGTCCAAGCACTGTCGCCAGGAGATCGCGGAAACCTACTGCCGCCATAAGCTGGGACTCCTGATGCCTGAGAAGGTGGCTCGGTTCTGCCCCCTGGAGGGTAAGTCCCGGCCCCTGGACCAGGGGAGCCCCATTCTGCCCATACCCTCAGACTCCCTGAGAGCGGCCACAGTGTTTTTCAAACCTGAGATCAGGGCACGAGATCTGGTATGTTTGGGGACTCCCTGATTTGTGAAGTCTCCTATAAGACGAGTTTTACAAAAATATAGAAGTGAAATTGCCTTTTGTTACAGCTTTAATCGATTGTCTTTAAGACAAGGGATAAAATTAGAATGAAATCGGGGCCAATGGTGAAAATTTCAGGATACGAGGTGGCTGTGTTGATATGGTATATCGTTTCTCTCGGCAGAATATCGGGATTGGAATTGACAGGAATAGGATTGTAACTGAATGTGCTTTGAAAGATTTCTAACTGGTTGCATTGATTTGGAAGGCTCTTTGATAAACAGCTTTCCCGTTTTTCTCCGTCTAAAATTTTTCCCTCCCTTCCTCCTTCCTTCTTTCCTACCTTCCTTCCTACTTGCCTTCCTTCCTTTCTTCCCTCGCTTCCTCCTTCCTCCCTCCCTCCTTCCCTCGCTTCCTCCTTCCTCCCTCCCTCCTTCCCTCCTACTTCTCTCCTTCTCTCCTCCCTCCCTTCTTCTTCCTCCCTTCCTCCCTCCCTCCCGTCTTCCCTCCTTCCTTCCTCCCTCCCTTCCTCCTTCCCTCCCATCTTCCCTCCTTCCTTCTTCCCTCCTTCCCTTCCTCCCTCCTTTGCATCTTCCCTCCTTCCTTCCTCCCTTTGTCTTCCCTCCCTCCCTCTTTCCCTCCTACTTCTCTCCCCCCTCCTCCCTCCTCTCGTGTTTTCACTCGTGCCCTGTGCCACGGGCGCTGCTCTCTTTGCTGATGATCCTTTAATAAGTCAGGCCTCTCACTATAATAGAGGATTCATGGGCAGAGTGCAGTGGGCCCTTGGAAGGTCGGGGGAACAGTTTTGCACAGGTGGGTATCACGTGTGTCTCTTTGCATCTAAAATTATGCCATTGAAATGTATTTCTTGCTGGTGAGTCTCACCTTCTCTAGGGGCTGTGGAAGGGGAACAGTGGCGGCAACAGGTCTCAGTGGGGCAGTCTGTGTGGGGGGCGTGCTGGGCTAGGCACTTGGCATTCATTATCTCATCTCACCAGCCGCTCTATAGGATTGCCACTGTTGTTATGCACCTAATTTTTCAGATGAGAGAGAGGTGGCATCACTTCCCCCAAGGTCCCCCAGCTTGTAAGTGGCCTTGCCAGGGTTTGAACACCCAGACGTCTGACCTGTCCCCTTTATTGCCCGTTTAACTCAAGGCTAGTGATGGACAAATGAAGAAGAGTGCAGCCACCAGCTTCCAACTGGCTGGTCCCGCAAGTACTTGTGGAGTGCTGCTGTCAGGAGCCAGGAGTCGGGGGTGTGTGTGTGTTTGTGTGTGTGTGGTGGAGGCGGTGGGACGACTGACGTCTTTGAGCACCTATCATGTGCCGAGATTGTGCTGGGCACTTTCTGTATGGATCTCATTTATCTTCAGGGTAACCGTGATGACACTTGACAGATGAGGAAGCCGAGGCTCAGAGAGGGTATGTCACGGTCTCCGGGTTGTACGCTAAGGGGTAGAACTGGAATTTGACCTCAGACAGGTCTGTGTGACTCCAGAGGCAGTGATCTTTCCACTAAACCCCATTGCCTCTCCTTGAGCAAGGAGCTGAAGCTAATCACACCTCTCAGGGTCTGTGAAGGCTGGCTATAGAGAACCAATCAGCTGCCGTCGAGTCGACTCTGACTCAGGGCGACCCCATGTGTGTCAGAGTAGAACTGTGCTCCATAGAGTTTTCAATGGCTGATCTTTCAGAAGTAAATCACCAGACTTTTCTTCTGAGGCGCCTCTGGGTGGACCTGAACCTCCAGCCTTTCAGCTGGTAGCCAAGCACGTAACTGTTTGCAGCACCCAGGGACTCCATCCTAAGAACAGTCCTTTAGTTTGCTAGTGTTGCTATAACAGCAGTACGACAAGTGGGTGGCCTTAGTGAACAGAAATTTATTTTCTCACAGTTCAGGAGGCTAGAAGTCCGAATTCAGGGCACCGGCTGTAGGGGAAGGCTCTTCTCTCGGCTCTGCAGGAAAATCCTTGTCTCTTTCAGCTTCTCTTCCTCAGCTCTTTGACAGTCTCCATGTGACATCAGTCTTCCCCATTTGTACTTCCTTGCTTCTGTGCCTAATCCGCTCTTTACATATCTCAAAAGATACTGGCTTAAAGCACACCCTACACTTCTATGGCCTCATTAACATAACAAAGGAAGCCCTGTTCCCGAATGAAATTACTTCCACCGGGATAGGAGTTAGGATTTACAACACATATTTTTGGGGGACACAATTCAATCCAAAATAAAACTAAATCCATTGCCATTGAGCCAGTTCCAACTCATAGCGACCCTATAGGACAGAGTAGAACTTCCCCCCTACTATTTCCAAGGCTGTAATCTTTCAGGACACAAACTGCCACATCTTTCTCCCAGGGATCGGCTGGTGGGTTCAAACCACCGACCTTTCGCTTAGCAGCAGAGCGCTTAACCACTGTGCCACCAGGGCTCCATTCAATCCATAATAGTACCTGATAAATAATCAGTGTTACATATATATTTATTATGACTTACCCCACAGCTATGCAAACAAAAATTTTTTTTAAATCTCACCACCTTAGCCCAGGGGTTCCCACCTCCTCCCACTGATGCTGAGAGCCCCAGTTGTGGTTTTGCTTCGTCGTTTGCTGGGGTTTGCCTTGAAGCTTTTGCTCCATTGGCCAAGGTCGTGCAACCCTCCTGAGACCTCTGAGCTGGTTAATAAGATTGGCGTTTAAGAGCCTTCGCACACCCAGCCCCGGCAATGCTTTAATTTGCTGCACCACAGCCTCCCCCTTTTGCAATAAATTTACTGTGAAAAGACTAATTGCAAAATAACCCTAATTGGGTAGTTATCAATGAACAACTTCCCGTGGAATAAAACAGCTTACAATTAATAGCATTTAAGCCATAAACTATTCTTCTGCAGAAAGCTAAGAGGTAATTACACCCCATACGGAGATTGTGTTCCCTTTCTGGAAACCATGACACCCGGATTTCCCTCTGCTTAGTAGGGATCTCTGCTTCAGCTCAGTGGTCCTTTTATTTCTGTGAAATGAAGACCTAGAGGTGGGGGGGAGGGAAACCCCATGTATGTGTAAATGCACATATACATAGATGTATGTGATACACACGTAAACACTGTATTTATCGTTTTGTTTAACTCAGTATCACCCAACTTCAGCCAATATTATGCAGGAGATTGAATATAATTAAGGAAGCCTTATGGCTAAAAGTCTGAAAAATTCAGAAGAAAGGAAATAGGTGTTCAATGTTGACTTTTCTAAAGGACTCTTCCCCCCATCCTTGCTGTCACTATTCAGGGAAAAGGTAGGGGATTGGTGGTTCTGTGGTAGAATTCCTGCCTTCTGTGTGGGAGACCCACGTTTGATTCCCAGCCAATGCACCTCATGCGCAGCCACCACCCATCTGTCAGTGGAGGCTTGCAGGTTGCTATGATGTTGAACAGATTTCAGTGGAGCTTCCAGACTAAGATGAAAAGGAAAAAAAAAAAAAGGAAAAAGGGCCTGGCAATCTACTTCTGAAAATCAGCCAGTGAAAACCCTATGGATTAAAACAGCCTGATCCAAAACTGATCGTGAGGATGATGAAGGACCAGGCAGCGATTCGCTGTGTTGTCCATGGGATCGCCATGAGTCAGTGGCTGACTCGATGGCAGCTGACAACAGAAGCGGGGAGAAGGTTTAGTTTCTGTAGAGATGAGTGCATGCTCCTTGCCATTGCGAATTATCTGCTTCACTCTGCCTGCTGGAAAAAGTAGTTTGTGAGGGGGTGACAGGAAGCCACACCTCCACCTGTTCCCAGAGACCTGTTGTCACCATGAGAGGTGAGATCTGCAGGTAGTCAAGTCTGCTAACAACCATGAAGAGCCAAGAGTGAGAGGCATAGAGGTTTGACGGCTGGGCGGAGCTAACTCAGTCAGCCCCCAGGAGTGGCTACAGAGAGGCTGATTTCTAACCCCAGAGCCCCTGAGCTCACTGCAGCAGCCCAGCTGCCACATCCCCCCACCCCCGCTCCATGCAGCTCTCCGCCCACTCCCAGTGACAGGGCCTCTGTCCCTTCCTTGGTTTCCAGAACCACCTGAGAGCCTCTGCTGACGCCATGGAAATGCAATCATGTTGGATTGCAGGTGAGGGGCAGCCTTGACTGTAAAAAGGAGATTTCCGTCCAAAGATCTTGGGCTGCTCAGGTTTGAATCCCGGCTGTGCCTTTACTAGCTGCATGACCCTAGCCTCCCAGTGCCTCGGTTTCCTCAGCAGGAAAATGGAGAAAAATACTCGGACCCTGTCCTCCTAGGGCTGTTGGCTGAAATGAACTAGTGCATATAAAATGCTTAGGGTGGTGTCTGACAAATAGTAAAGCCGGTGGGTTTGGACTCTTAGTGGTAGTAATTGTAGTAGGTTCCAATTCCTGTCCAGTAGACTCTGACTCATGGCGACCTTATGTGTGTCCGAGTAGAACCGTGCTCCATAGGGTTTTCAATAGCTGATTTTTCTGAAGTAGATCTCCGGGCCTTTCTTCCGAGATGCCTCTGGGTAGCCGAGTGTGTTAACAGTTTGCATCGCCCAGGGACTCCTGGTAGTAGTAGGAGGAGTAAATGAAGGAGCATTGAGCAGATGAGAGGAGAGGACAGGGGCTGCCTGGATGGTGACTCCCTGCTGCCCAGCCCCTTTCCATCCCTCTGGTCTTCAGCCGTGGCCCCTCCTGCTCGCCCTGGGCATTCTCTCATGCCCCTCTTGCCCCTTCCGTGCCTTCCCCACCCCCACCTCCTCCCTCCCCAGCGCTCAGCCTAAATGCCACTTCCTCAGGGAAGCCTTCCTGGACCCCCGTCCACAGAAGCCCAAACTGCAAGTGAGGACCTGGATGAGGAGCTCACCTCTGCCCCTCCCAT